TGTTTTCAATGTCTCAGTTGTGAAATTAGCTAAAAATTCGCAGTCTTTTAGTTCCATATCCAAAATTTGCCTTTAATGAAAGCAGCACCCCACAAATGGAACTTTTAAAACGCTCGTATGATGCTATGTTTTCAATGTCTCGGTTGTGAAATTAGCTGAGAATCCGCAGTCTCATACCATATTACCAACGTGACTAACCATTATTCCTCGAGTTTTTGTTGGCTGAACTGTCAATTTCTTTACATATTATGCCCAGTTTTAAAACTCTAAAAAAGAAATGAAATGACGGAGTGACAGTGACAGTGCAGCAGGATTTCGAGATGATGGTGCGAAGCTGGCACATTCCCTTTCTCACGGTCAATTAAGTTTACTGGTTTTATGGAACAAGCTGGTTGCTCAGGACCAAATCCAAAATGGCAACATTCGTTCCCATTTCGAGACTGTTATTTGATTTTGAATGACTGAATGTTGATAGGGTACGGATGCTTTTTAAAACATTGGTAATTTCCACGTTAAGTAAAGTTAGTGCACACTTAAAACAAGGCATTATGACTAAGCCTGAACACGCTTTGTGACCGGTAGAAGGGAGGGGCTCTGGTGACAAAAATCTGAGAACTGAGCTGTGAGTTCATCTCAAATTCCTGGTAAGCCATAGTCCACCTCTGACAATATTTCGGAGGTCAAAACGGTCACAATATGCGGTGTGCTACGTCGTGCAAAACAACAAGGGAGAAAAAGTAAATTCTCCGAGCTCGCGCAGTTTTATAATTGGATTTGACAAACCTCGCAGCGACAGACTGTACCTATTGTCTGCAGCATGATTCGCATCAGTTTTTTTTTTTACCTTTTTACATCGTCAGTTTTTTTTTTTTTTTACATTTTTAAACTTATTCGACAGAAACCTCTTTTCAGTGCTACGGGAAAACTGCGGAAGAATATACCGCCTCTTCCTCGATTCAAGGAAAAATCTAGTAAAACATAAAGGCCTTTATCTGACATCCTCAGGACGCAGTAGTGAATTGACTGAAAACGGTGATCGAGAGCGTTTTTTTTTTTTTTTTTTTTTTTTTTTTTTTTTTAAATTTTCAGTCGTTTCTTCGAATTTTCCTCTCTTTTTTGTTTGGAAGACAACACTTTCTGCTCCTTTAAAACCCCACAGTTGTATAACATATTGAACTGAGCAGATTCTGAGAACTCTGAGAAAATTCTCTGGAAAATTTGAAGAGATGGAAAATTTGTATTTTATCAGAGGAAAGTTGGCAACGCCAGAGTTTCCAATTGACGTTTTTCCACAGACTTGCCGCGTAGTCAGAGTAGAGGTTCATTTGAGGAGTAGTTAGTTGCGCGAGTCTGTGAAAAAATAATTAGGTACGTTGAACCTCGGTTTGGAAAGTTGACATCATAAGCAAGGATATCGCACTGCGCAATGAAGTCCCATACCTTCCTTTTTATATTAGTTGTGCTCCGTTCGTTGCCCCACGATGGTAAGTCCGATGATATTTCGAATAAATCTTAGCATATATAAAACTGCACGAATGACATCTTTTTCTCGGAGCATAGTCATATCATCTCCAAAGAAAATCAACCCATCTGTCACTTCTGTAATTCATCACCTCTAATAACCATCAAACACATACTTATGGACTGCTCTGCCCTCCGATATCTCCAATCACAGATCTACTCCCCTACAATCAACAGAAATACAAATCCACTTACATGCGATGAACCCAATATTACAACCAAAATTCTAAAACTCTTCACCTCTCTTAATTTAAAAATCTAAATTTTCGTATATACTCCCATTTTCAAAATTATCTGTAAAGACGTTAATAGCTTGAGACGCTGAATGTCTTGAAATTATACTAACTAACTGACTACAATGTCGTATATAGACCAAAACGTCCTGGCCAACCACGCGACAATTCTCAATGTAAAAGAAAAACGACAGAATAAAAATTAAGACGAATTTAACTTTTGGATCGCATTTTTCTCATTCCCTTCTTCTTTTACAACAAATATAGTAGATCCAGAAAAAGTAACTTATGAAATAATGAAATCACTACGTAAAATTTGTGAAAAGGAATTTTTTTGGATCATAAACAGAGGTCAAAATTAAAGGGGGAAATCATGTAACACATTAAAGTAGAAAGGCTATATAAAACAATGAATAAGTTGATGAGGACTTCCGAAAATTTAGATTTATCTGCAGTGCCAGGAACTATGGCTGACAAACTACAGCAAGCTAGAACGTGAAAAGCGCTGGTTAAGGAACTACAATGAATCGACCACAAGTCTTGTCTGCCGTGATAGCGAAGAGAGCAGTAAGTCTCAAATTATCGAAATCGAGTTTCCTTTAAAATTCGTCGAATCTCTTTTAAATGAAATCACTGAAATGGCTAAAACAGCAAAATTCATCTTAATTTTATGGAAACGAGACATATGAAAAACCGTAAGTGCGCAAAAAATGACGTAGTTTCAGGCAAGGCAGCAGTAAGTGACATTATTCCTCCAGAGAACCAATGTAAACTTTGCTTTCGGGTAAAGTGCCGCCCTCCTCTGCCAATTTCTAACCTTGAAATGTGTTTGTTGTGTGTCCAAAACACAACCACGAATGCAAGCAGAATATAGGACTTACTGCTGTCTTGCCTTATTATAGCCTGGCATAGCCAAGTGAAAAATACACTTAATATGTAATTGAAATAACATCGGTCGATTTTTAATCAGCCAAACGATTTTTAGGAGTTTTACGGGTGATTATTGCGGCAATTTGACAAAGAACGGAGGCTTTTTTTTCGGTCAAGAGCTTCTGAGCCCATTCTCTCAAAACTTCATTTTTGCTTTTACTGCTCTCTTCGCTATCACGGCAGAATTATTGACCCACTGAGCTCATCGAAAGATGCACATACAGTGCACATTCGCTATATTTTCAGACTGGAGTATCGAGAGCTTTTATGGAATTAAAGGATCTATGTATGTAATGGCGATATTTTAAATTATCGAGAGCGGTTTCAAAGAGAATTCAAGTTACACAGATTTATATTTTGACTAACTTACTTTTGTTGCTTTTGTTGAAAGTAGGTCAAAATGATCATGGCATCCGACAAAATGAAATAACTCCTCAGCTTTAAAAGATTCTTGCAGATATGTGCTGCAGGGCGTGATATCTCTATTCGATCTTCTAAAACCGCATTCTTTAGTTCCGTAGAGGTTCTAGTTACTTCAGTCTGAAATTAGCGAGTTTGCATTACGCACACAAGCATACATTATGGGGACAGAGGTGGATAGTTAGGTACTTCATTGGTTATTGTGTTCATCAAGGGAATGTGTCTCATCCTTTAGTTAATTCAGACGCGGTGTGTGATGGGAGCCTTTGGGAAAGACAGAGCTGTCAGGTCCACTGCGATTCGTTATGGGGAAAGGTCCCCCTGTTTAACGTCCCCTGGACTCGAGGAGTGTGCACCACAGACAAATTATGCGCTTGCAGATTCAACTTTGGAGATCTGCATCGATTTACAACCCAGACCTGTATTCAGAAGTCTTTTTGGGGATCACTTAGAAGCTGGAAAAAAATGGCCGAGAAGGTCATTAAGGTAGGAATGCAGTTACGAGTACGTATACGATACATCAAACAGGTGTAATTGTATCGATATCAATTGGTTTAGCGTATAAACTTAGCCTCAAAAGTTAATTGAGTAATCTCAAGAAACGGGTTTTCAATGATAGCTCTCGGATTCCTGTAAGTACAATATGGCGATGAAAAGTGAAATTCTTAGGAATTTTCTCATTTTCCGCTATTCTAACTTAAATCCTAACATTTGTATTTGAGGTTATGTTTTATTTTTCTGAACCAAACGATACATCGATACTATCAAATACGATCCGCACTGCCGTAGTAAGGAAGAACCGCGTATCAGTCATGAGGCGTTGCCAAATTTCCCTCGAAAAATTACGAATTTTCAAGAAAAGTTGTGAATATTTCCTGTCCAATTTTTAAGACGATTTCGTGTGTATTTTGATGTATACAGTCTGAAATCGATCATCGCTTCTCGCACGAAGGACCGTAACTCAATCTCAAGAATGCAAAATGGCCTCGAACAATTCAAATTTTGACGAGAATAAACTTTCTTAATTTTCTTGGTAATTTTGTCTGCTTTTTGCATGAGATCAGAGGAGGTATTTGTGAAATTTTCAGTAAGAAATCCTCAAAATTATTTTAGTAAAAATGCAATTTTCACGGGGAAATCTGGCAACATTGAACATTAGTTATGTTTTCTCGTGAAAGAGACGACTAAATGTCAAGAAAAAATATTCGCAGCTTTATTCAAAGAAAAATATTCTTTACTTCTTTAAGGACGTCTTCAGTGACATTGGACGTAAAAGTTCGGTGCACGGACTGATTTTATTATATTTTGCTGATCTTCAAGCTGACATCTTCAAAACACGGTTACCACGGCTGTGCAAAATTTTACCCAGGCGTTTTCATTAAAACGTCGAGAGTGTCCACAACGTTTTCTGTACTCGAAAAATGCAATGCAGCAGTCCTTTGAGCACGATAGGTTGCATCCAAGTGTTATCATCGCGAGAACTAGGGCGCCTTCAATTATTTGTATATGCAACACGTGCATCCTTAGAGCACGAATAGTTGCGTCAAGACGATGTCATAAAGAAAGCTATGGCGCCTTCAATGTTCCCCAGTTATCGTTTTGAAATCCATTACATTTCAATCTCCATGAGCACTTATTAGCCTCCTGATTTGGGTTTTAGAAGTGGTGATCTAAACAATCTTTAAAATTAAAAATTTCAACCGCTCCTTGAAACTTCCAGGGTTTAGGGACATGTAAGGAACTCTCAAGAATACATCCAGTCAAGGCAATTTTGAAGTCAGTCTTTCTAGCCTGGATTAATTTCTTACTTATAGAAGTGTTTCTTGTATTTCGGCTTGAAACAGTTTTGTTATACTATGTTGTTTTCTTCTTGCATGCCAGGAAAATGTAGACAGTATGAATTTACGAGAACAATTTGAAGTCTTTAAGAAGGCGTACGAAAAGAAATACAGCTCACTACAAGAAGAACAGAAACGTTTTGAGATCTTCAAGGAAAACTTAACTGTAATCGAGAACCTCATGGCTGAACGAAAAGGAAACGTCGTTTTCGGAGTCGGCCCTTACACGGATTTTACAAGTAGGTGAAATTTCAACCCTATACACACACATGTAACTGAGAGAAAATAAGCAAGAAAACTATATTTAAAACTATATGTTAACAGAACTAGGCATAAGTTGAAGTTATTTAAATATTAATAATTTAACTTTATTTTGGTTAAGTTAAATAAATATAGCCACATGATATCTGTTTACCAAAATTGTATAAACCTTAAACATAAATTTTATTTTAGTTTAAAAGTTAGTGATTAAATTAAATGTATATAAATTTAAAATTTGAAAAAAATAAAAGCTTCACATTTAAGATTTTAAAATTAGAGCAATCTACTAAAAGAATTTATTTAAATCCTAACTAATAAGGTGCCAGCAGTTGCGGTTAGACCCAAAGCTAGCTAACTAAATATCTAGATACATTATATTGATTACAGAAGATATTAATAAGACAAATTGCAAACAAGCGAAATTTTTAAAATTTAAAAAATCTTAACAATAAAAATTTAAATTTCTGTTAAAATGCTCAACATACGCCGAATTTCACTTGCAAAAGGAATCTCGCAGAATGGCTAGAGACGTGTTCTTAGTTTCTGTTAAGAGAACTAAAACGAGCGAAGAAATCAGACATCCGGTGAAGCTGAACGAAACAAAAAAGGAATGAAATGAGAATGAAAACACAATTTTTTACCTCTCATTTATCAAATTATATTATTCGCGTGCGAGGAGATAGTTCTTCTAGTTACCTATAACCTCTCGATGTAGATGTCTCAGGCTAATACGAAAACCTGGCATTTGCAAAATGCTTAAGCAAATAGGAATTCAGTTCGCTTATTTGCCAAGGATTTTTTAAAAATGACTAAAATGCCTACTCAATTTCATAAATGCCAAGGCATTTTGCAAAATGTCTAGACTAGAGGGAAATTTCAAACACTGAACTGCTTCTACTGCATATTTTTCGTATATGCCTAGTTATTCAGTAAAATGCCGGATATTCCTATTAGCCGGTGACTGATGCCGGAATCACACGCTGAATGCAGCTTGAATGTAGAAGTCACCGGCCCGATGTCTGAATTTTTCGCATGTCGTGCAAAATTCAGCAACGATTCTCAGCGACCATTGGATAATGTCGCATTTGTCTGAACAATTCGACTGCATTTGATACAAAATATGGATGGAAATAACTCGACTTAACGAAATTTCAGCTGTTGAGCGATGTCTGCAGCCTGATTGCTGAAATTTTGTGTTTGTCGGGTAGCCATAGATGACGTAGGTTAAAAGGCGATGCTTGATTGGTTGGCTATGTCTTATCGCTGCTTTGTCGTGTCTATGTCGGGTGGAACTCACGACAAGCTAACGGCACCTCTTAAGTTTCCGACAGTATGTCGTCCATTCCACCTGACAAAAGCACGATAAAGCAGCGGTGAGACACACTAAAAAAAATTTGGTAGATTTTGATCTGACACGTACAGTTATACAAGTATGATAATAACCACCAGACTTTATGGTAACAATCACCGTATTAGGTAAGTATCACCAGAGTTTTGGTGAATTCTGCTATAATTCCGGTTATATTCACTAAACAGTATCACTGTGTAAAAAATCAAGGAGACTTATAGTAGATGTTACCATCATTTTTTTTTAGTGAGCCGACCAATCACGTTCCGCCTTTGATCCTTTGTCATCTTTGTCTACCCGACAAACACAAAATTTCAACAATCAGGCTGCTGTTGACTTACATATTCAGCTATCAAATTCAGCGTGTGATTCCGGCAATAGATACGACTGGATCGTTTGATACAATCCGATTCCTATGCGCAGGCGACGAGTACCTGGCATTAATGGGCATCTCCGAGACAGAAGATACCTCTTCGGAAACTTCCAACTTGGAGCGACGGATGCTGGAGAGCCGAGGGTCGAGTAATAACTGGAATTGGTGGCGTTCCCGTTCGGTGCCACCCCGCGGGCCTGAGCCCTCTTTGCCGCCCCCACCCCCGTCCCGCACGACCTCTGTCCCGTCGTTCTGCAAGTACGCGTCCGATTTTTTCGTCGGGAAATATCCCGAGGGAGGACCAATGCTGGATTGGCGAGTACCTGTGCAATATTACCCGGAGACTGAACCTCAGGTACGCCGCACGGTCGACAGAGTCCATTCGAGGGATCGGACAAAATTTGGAAACTTTAAAAGCTTACAAGTCTGTTTATACACAATGGAGATGTTGCATGTGTGAGGAATTTGCGATTTGACTGTTGATTCTTATGTAAAAGTTCGCGAGAAACACGATGTGACCACTGGTTTTCTCTGAAATCAACTCCCAAGCTCAAAAAAAGCTGGGGATATCCCACGCTATCCTGAGAGTCCACCTCCACATCAAGACAAACTCTCCATGCAAAGATAGGGAGAAAATACATTGACAGGGCTGCCACTTTATTTGGGGGCTCTAAGACTGAAAACACGGCAACCCTGGTAATATATTTGCTCCCTATCTTTGGATGGAGAGTTTGTCTTGATGTGGAGGTGGACTCTCAGGATAGCGTGGGATATCCCCTCCATTTTGCCCTCAACTCGAGAGCTTTTTTTGAGCTTGGGAGTTGATTGCAGAGAAACCAATGGCACCATCGTGTTTCTCGCGAACTTTTACGTAAGAATCAACAGTCAAATCGCAAATTCCTCGCACATGCAACATCTCCATTTTGAGGTCCTAAAGGTGGTTTCATTGGTTTCATCGTGAAATTTTCCTCTAGAGGCAAACTTTAAAATTTAAATTTTGACAAGATAATCATGAAAATATGCAGTTTTAGTCAAGAATTTCATGTCCTACCCCTCTAATTGACTCGATACACCGTGCGCCATCAATAAGTGCTATATATATATATATATATATATATATATATATATATATATATATATATATATATATATATAGTTTTTCTATACGTAGTGCTGCCGTACTAAGGATACACATCGTATGAACATTCGAGAGTTACCAAATTTTCCTTTCTAAAAAATGCATTTTTGACAAAATTCGTGCGTATTTTTCCTCTAAATTTTCAGATATTTTACATTAAATCACAAACAAAATCGTCTGAAAATTTTGGAAAAAAATCCTCACAAATTTCCCTGATATTTCGGTTTTTATCGATCGGTTTTATAATTTCAAAGCGGTGCCTTGGAAACTATGGCCATTAACACCTCTGTGGTTAGGCTACAGGTTTTTTTTACAGAAAAAGACAGATTTGGAAGGTAGTAGCAAAACACAGGGTTGGAAAGGAAATTTAGAGGTTTGAAAAAAATATAGATGGATATGTAATGGAGAATTTACAGGTGGCTAAAATTTAATGAATTTCGTGATGAAGTGGAAACTACTAAGTGAACCTAACGCGAAGATACCCATGGTTCATAAATTGAACCATTTTGGAGGAGATATGACGAAATAATCTGAGCTGCTAAAATGCATGCGACTAATTAGGAATTGCCACCAGATGACGTCATTAGGAGGTGCATTTTTACTTGTAAATCGATTTTTATAGTATTTCCCACATCAGAAACAAGTTAAAAAATTATGCCAGATTAGCTTTTCACATACAAATTAGCAAATTCTGACAAAGTAACAAAAAATGTTCATGCGAATTCTCCATGACTCCGAAAAAAAAATTATTCTAAAAACGGAAAAAACTCAATTTAATCAAAAATTTTCCGAGAGTAAAGAGTGCTATCGGCGCAATGCCTTTAGGACCCCCCCCCCGCTCTTCAAAAAAAGCCTTTTGGCTAGGAGTATGAAAATTTTCTGTCTGTTAAGGGTACCCATGAGCGCTTTTAGGAATTATAGTTGAGTTGTCTCTGGAACTAACGGAATTCGTACCTAGCTTTCTTCCCGCGACGTTATGAACCCTTTCTTTCTGAACTTTGCTTGCAGAACCTACCGGGAAGAGAATGCAAGGCATGTTGGGCATTTGCAGCTGCAGATGCTATTGCTATTGAGTTGGCGAGGTCGCGATGCAAAATTGTCCCGCTCTCAAAACAAGGTGAGTAGCACTGAGAAACGTGACATGCCGGCGGCGCAAGGTAGATCGAGTCAATTAGAGAGGTAGCACAAAATTTGGAAACTTTAAGAGCGTATAAAGTCGTTCGTACAAACTTTGAGGCTCTATAAATAGGCTCGTTGATTTATCCGTGAAATATTCTACACTGAAATAAAAAGATTGGTGGAATATACTATTCTTTTGAGCTGTATTTTACACAGCGTGAAGGAATGGTACATCCTACTAATCACGGAAAAAACGAGCTTAGGGTTGGGACCTACATGTTAGTGCTGGGCACTAACGAGGGTTAGATCAAATGGAGCCAGCAAGTCAGAGGAGTGCTGGGCACTAAACAGCTCGAGGCTGGGTCACTAAGGAAGAAGTAGTGTCAAGCCCTAAAGTGACTTTGGAGCGAGCGTAAAATGTGAAATGCCTCGGCCTGGGATCGAACTCGGGTCGCGCCGGTGGAAGACCAGCGCGTTACCACCAGGCTATCGAGGCTCGGACGTCTCGAGGGTGAATTTACACCTGTTAAGCGCAACTACGTCTCTCGGCATCTGATTAGCACTACTCATGTTCAGTGCCCACCTGTACTGCCTTCCGGCGTTGAGCTGTACAGCGCTTAGACGCCAGCCCTCAACTACTCCCCACTAAACGGCCAGTAGTGCTCAACACTAGTCTTGTTTTTTCCGTGATCTTCAAGTCGATTCTGCCAGAGAAATGGTTACCTGTGCCAGTATATAGTAACGTTTACCTTTTTTCTGGCAGAATTGACTCGGAATTGACGCTGTGTGAAATACAGCGTGAGGGAATGGTAAGTTCTATCATTTTTTTTCAGTGTACTAAAAGCACCCCTCGAAATTTAAAATGTGACGGAATAAACATCAAAATTTGCAGTTTTGATAAAAAATTGCCTGTCCGACCTCTCTCATTGACTCGATCCACCGTGCGGATTTTTATTTGACAGTTCGTCGTTTTTCTCACGACAGAACGTAACTACATTTCAATGTTGCCGGATTTTTCCATCATACGCAGGCCCTCATTGCGGGGGATGCGACTCCCATTCGATGGAAACGTTTCTGGTTGAGGCCTCATGGGCTTCATTGGTGCCTCCTAGATTCTTCATGGGCTTGGTTTTTAATGGAACACTTTTTGACTAATAAGTGACATTAAAATTTTTAAAATTTTTCCTTAGTTCTAGTCTGGTTACTTTTCAAAATGTTTTATTTTTCTCGATTCGATCTAAGTCCAACTCAGATCCTGCCTGTTAAGGTGATTCCATGGACGCCAGATTTTGTGTCAGAACGGCATGCGATGTTTTTAGCTCCTTTTTTTCAGCTACTCGTCATTATTCTAAAATTTTGGGATCGTAATTCTGTTGTCAGGAGACTAAAGTATCCACTTACCAATTTTGACAGAAAAATTCAACGTAATAAAGGCGTGGTACTTTTAGAGGAAACATATCGCATTCGAGTGCAGTTTCGATATAAGTATCGAATGCTATATTTTTCCTCTGAAAAAACCACGCCAATATGATGTTGAATTTGTTCGTCAAAACTGGTGAGTGAATTCTTTAGTCTCCTGACAACAGAATTGCGATCTCAAAATTGGAGAAAAATGACGAGTAGCTGAAAAAATGGAACCAATTGATGCGATATATCTCATGTTTTTCTGACACAAAATATAGCGTCCATCGAATCACCTTGATGCCATATTTTGTGTAAGAACGGCATGCGATATATCGCATCAATTGGTTCCGTTTTTTCAGCTACTCGTCATTTTTCTCCAATTTTGAGATCGCAATTCGGTTGTCAGGAGACTTAAGCACTCACTTACCAATTTTAACAAAGAAATTCATCGTAATAAGGGCGTGGTTATTTTAGAGAGAAAACATCGCATCCGATACAAATATCGAAACTGCACTCGAATGTGATATTTCCTCTCTAAAAAAATCACGCCTTCATTACGATGAATTTCTTTGTAAAAATTGGTACGTGAGTGCTGTAGCCTCCTGACAACAGAATTGCGATCTCAAAATTGGAGGAAAATGATTAGTAGCTGAAAAAATGGAACCAATTGATACGATATATCGTATGCCGTTCTGATACGAAATATGACGTCCATCGTATCACCTTAAACTCGGTCCAAATTCCATTAATTCATAAAAGTTTGGAAATGTCGACAGCATTGCTTGACTGCGTTCCTAACTCTGGTTGTAGTGGTGGGGACTTGGAATATGCTCTGTATTACATTAGACATCATGGACTGCCAACCTCCGAAGCGTATCCTTACGAAGCAACGGATGGAGAGTGTAAGTCTCACATTCGAGCGTGGGCCAGAATCGCGGGTTACGATTTAGTCAACGAGGAGTCTCTGACAACATATTTGAAGCACACTCCAATCCCAACGAACATGCACGCTCCAAAGGAATTCCAAGTAAGAAATTGACCATAAAAACACATAAATCTATTGGGAAACTAAGGATACATACGTTGCTTTTAAAGTGAAAGAATAGAGCTGCAAAGAATACTGGTTCTCAGACTCCTTTTAAGAACCACGTATGTGCCATTACTTTCCCTTTTTCTGAGGTGCTTTTGAGGGTGAGATAGAAATAGTAGTTCCCTAATGCAAAATAAAGTCCTATTGCATTAATAAAAAACTTTGGACGATTTGAGTTCATAGCCTGCTCTTTTGAGCCGTAAGAACTCATGCGGTCTAATCGAACCTGACCTCCAAAATTACCGACATGTCCATACTCTGTCTGTAAAGCTCCTCTATTCCACTCTACGAAAATGTTAATGATAAAACTTAAAGCGTTATTCGGAAAATTCATGTTTATTGCGGAAGAGATTTGGCAAACGACCGAATGTTCGCACGGCGTTTCCCGTTATCACGGCAGTAAATCGAACCAAATTTTGCCCTTTTTCGAATTGAGCCGTAAAATACTTATTTTAAGAGCTATCATGGGTTCAGATGCTTTCAAACGCCTTCGATCTGTTTGCTAGGCAATTTTCATTGCTCGGTTGGTGAAATAGTCGAATTAGTCGATCAAGCTAACGAGTTGAAAAAAAGTTAAATTTTGCAAGAAACAAAGTATCAAAATAATGCATTAAAGTCCATCGAACGTTTTCAGGAGTAGTTTCTAGACATGTAAGGTTTTTGTTTATGCATAAAAAGGAAAAAATAGTGATTTCATTTGTTAAAAAACAATTCAACTTTCTAAAGCTTTTCCGCTACCTGATAATGGAGATACACTCGAAGACGAGTTTTCCTCAAAAAACTAAACGTAGCTATATGTGAATTCTCTGCTAGAAGCCTCGAAAACCAAATGGCTTTTTAGCCTCCTTGAGTGATAAAACATTGATAAAAGAAAACCTCTGAGTAAAAGGCACAACTATGAATAGAGGGAATAGGTTTAGGAGAAACAGTTTTGGGTCTAAAAGTGCAACGCTGACGCCTGTATACGACAGAAATATTCTTTTCTGACGCATTCATGTATTAAACCTTCAGTTTTCCTCGAGATTTCACCACAGAGGGTGATTATTTGAACCAACCATATTCATTATACGCCACAATGAAAAGCGATGCTGAGTCACGGGATATGAGTCAGAAAATTTTAGATAAATGATCAGAAATCCTTTTATCTGAACATAGAGGTTTTGTGAGGTAATGTGTATTTTCCTTTTATTTTTACCTTCCTTATCAACTTTTTGAGCCTTGTTCCCCGGATGGTAGCAGTACGTTTTTCATCTTATTGTATTGTTTGCTTCATATGAGATGCTCATAATTTCTAAATTTATTACACAAGTGTTTGCGTTAAAACCGTTACTTTTCGTTTCAGCACTATGTTTCTGGAGTTTTTGATGTACCTCATTGCAGCAATGAGCCGGCAAAACTTGACCATAGTGTTGTTATCGTTGGCCATTACAAAGGTATCCCCAACCTTATCTTGTCTCACTTTAATCACTTTTATCTTGTCTCACTAAAAAATGGAGTAGATGGACATTATTCACCCATGAAGAACCAAGCATGAAATTAAATGGAAACCGTTAGAAACATTCCTACGAATGTCTTAACATTGCATAAATGCTCAAACATACATGAACTCTGCGAAAAAAAGAGGGATCAGCTTTAAAATTGGACGTATTTATGCTAAATGGAACTTTGTGCGAGTGGAAAAATGAGGGTGTGCTCGTTAGCTGAGGGCCACACGAATGAATGGGAATTTAAAAGCGCCATAGACGTCAGCAGCAACGATCGAGCCCAGGCACGACGGGGAGATCGGTGACGGGACTCTTTAACTCATGAGCCCTGTCCACAACGCTCTTGTCACATGCCCACGGCTCACGAGTTAGCACTCAATTCCTTTTGATTTAATGTAGGATTCCGCTATCCCATTTTCTCAAAAGGAACTATGTCCACTTATACATTGTTTCTTATGCAGTTTGCACGAACACACCCCATCTTTCCAATTGCACATAGTTCCTTTTAGCATAAATTCGTTCAATTTATATTCTGGGTTCACACACATCATTGCTCTTCTAACGTAAGGGCATATCTTTATTTCCACATGAACCCTAGAAAGCATAGAGTTACGGGTGAACAGGGATCACTCGGAAATAGAGATATGCCCATACATCAGAGGGGAAACAACATCATTCGGCATAGTGGAGTTAGTGGTTGGAGCCAGTGGCGTGGCGTGAATGATCGATTATCAACATTTGAAGCTATGGTAAAGAATCGATTTTTAAGGTATTCGCTGCAAACATCCCGTTTATCGATCCTTTTAAATAGGTTAGAATGACAGATCAATCGATATATCGCAAAGCACGCCACGCCGCTGGTTGGAGCATAGAGGTATATTGATGGTGAAACAGTCTCAAACCACGTATCCCAGTTTGCGACATTGTAGACTTCTTGTCTGCCTTTATTTTGTAAATTGAAAACTACTCAACGTCGATTCGTTTAAATCTCCTTAATTTTTCCTCTCTGTGTGAAGAAAATTCTATGAAAATTTCAAACAATAATTTTTATTTCCTCTCCTACAATTAATAGAAACAGAACGGAGATTTTGAAACACGGCAAACGCAATACGTTTTTTGGGACAGTAACGTGGCGCGCTTTGCGATATATCGATTGATCTGCCATTTGAACCCATGAAAAAGATCGACACACAGGGTGTTTGCAACGAACGCCTTAATAATCGATTCTTTACCGTAGCCTCAAGTAAGGAGATATCGATAATCGCCTCGCCGCTAGTTTGGGAGTTCATTTATAAACATATTTTATAAACATGTGTTTCTCATTTTTTATAAACACGTTGATCAAATTTACACAAGTTCTGCGTAAAATAAGTGTGAAAATAACAATTTTACTTTCCATTTTGGTTTCAGATGCATGGATCGTCCGGAATAGCTCGACCAAAAAATGGGGCATTCAGGTATGCAATCTTTTGACTGAAATGATGTTAAAATTATATATATTTGATCATTGTAATAGTCTACCAGAGAAGGAACCTTTACCCACTGATTGAAAATAATAACGAATAGGCACTGGAGCATGACGGAGTGTACTGCGAGAATTATGACGCTAAAACGCCCAAAAATATCAAACTAAACTGAAATAACGCCGATTTGAAGTACACATTTCGAGAAGTATACTTCGCAAAAAAGTAACTTAAAATTGGACTAGGTTCAGCAAAAAGGAAATGCTATTTTTGGCTCATCTTTAAAGGCGCTTAGCTGCACGAGAAAGCTAAAGTCATATGACATGTCAAAATTTCATATGTTTCTAAAGTTAGTCATGAAAAGTAGGTTACTTATTGTAAAATGAAATAATGTAGTCCGATTCTAATCTGCCATATTCACCATTCAGTGCTCAAAATTCTCGGATTGTAATGCGACTTAAAGTCATTTATTAGTCGTAAAAAAGATTACATTCTGCAATGAGGACATACTATACTAGGTCTGAATATGACATGTTTTACCGGGAGACATTTGGCAACCCTCAAATGTCCATACGGCGTTTTCCCTTATAGCAGGGTAGAACAGGCCCATTTTTCTCCGACATTGTAGATGAATATGGAGAACTTAGGACCGTTCATAGACAGTCCTGCGTTCTTCAAGCGATAGGCGCAAGCATGCTTTCTTCTTCAACACTGCAAAGTAGAGAGCTTGAAGCACATTTTTATTTTAAATACCACTCAATTCAGATATGATGTATGTTGCAGGGTCACGCTCTGGTAAAAAAAGGAAGGTGTGGAATAGGTGTTCAAAGTTACACCATATCTGGTTCATATGTAGTTAAACAACCCCCAGAGCGTACTACCAGTGCCAGCACGACTGCTGCAACTCCGAGTGGAAAACGCAAACGTGGCCGACCGAAGAGAACTTAAAAATCATTCTTCAATACCGATTAATACTTTTAACGTCATGCATAATTGGACGTATTTCTATCAAACGGAACTAAGCGCCATCGGGGGAGGAAGGGAGGGGGGCTTGGATTGGCGGGTGTTGCGGAACGCGATGCTCGTTCCACCCTATACTTGCAATACTTTTCCATGGCGCTTAGTTCCGTTTGACAGAACGCGCTATCCGAGATTCTAAAATCCACAGAAGGAACTCAATTTGGCGCTTGGTTCCGTTTAATAGAATTACGTCGAATTATTGATGCGCTGCAAGAAAAGGCAGCAATTCGTTCTTCCGATATTACAAAAATGGAATTCCTCTGATCAGGAAGCATATCGCGAACGATTAAAATTGAAGAAGAACTTAACGTCACAAAAAAATATGTACGAATTTCAATATAATATTAGAAAATTAAAAGGTACAAGCTGAATGAAAACATCTAGAGTGATAAGCGTCTGAAAGGTAATGATCGAAATACATTTTGCAATTATGAACTACAATATCTGGCGCGGCTAAAAACAACGTATGTACCAGTAGTTTCTTTATCTACGTATGTGTTTTTTAAGCTTAATGCAGCATCATAAAAATTGCATTTTTCACGAATCTCGGGTAAAATTCGAAACAATGCTTCCGAGATTCCGTGCGTTGTCATTGAGAAAAGTAGGGCGCCTTTAATAGTTTATGTGCGCAAAACGCACATCCTAAGAGGACGAATAGTTGTATCAATGCATTGTAATTAAAATGCGAAGGCGCTTTAAATTTTTTACAGTTGGCACATTATTCAAATATGTCAGATCATTGCATTTCTGGATTCGTGCACATTGATTATAGTCTTTTAAAATGCTTTCTAGGAGAAGTGATCTTAACATTCTTCCAAGCCACAATTTTAAGACGCCCTTTGAAACTTAATAGATCTAAAATCTTATGAAAACTCAAATTGACGAAAGAATTTCGATAAGAGTAAAATTTATAAAATTTAAAAATGATAGCAGCAAAAATTTGTCTGATATCTAAAAGTTGGCTAACTTTCGGTACTGCTTTACCTTACGTGGAAGATGCCACATGGTTTAAACTGAAATGGATCCGTTACAAACTTCACCTAGAGTAAATAAATCACGATGCGCATCGACAAATTCTTAGATACACTCCTAACTTCACAATCTGCATGCGAAATATGCGTTAAACTTCCGTTCTAAAATGCTAAATTAAAGACATTTGTATTGTTTCTTCATATATGATGCACGATCAGACGGGATCTCCCTTCCTAGAGAACATATCTATTCAGAGAGGGACTTATAATTCTGTCATCGATCGAAGAAAAAATATCGTTATTGGGTAATGCTGCTCTCAAAAAAGGTCGGTGATTTTTTATGTGAGCTACTAAATTTCTGCGGTATGTCATTCTAGTAAAAATTGAAATCGAATGTAAAATCTAGCGATGCCTTCTACAAGAAAGAGCGTCGAGTTTTCCTACCTCGGACTCCGGTGATATATTTATTGCTGTATTCGAGTAGAAAAACAGCCAGCAATTGGCTCACCTTCAACAAAAAAACCGTACATAAAAAGCCAACCTTTGACCAAAGCAATCCATTGATAGGAAAAAGTACTTTATATTCAGTGCAACAAGTCTACCACTAGACAGAGTAATTATGAATTGACTCCGAGTCCAAAATTAAATGATAAGTGAAAAATCAGTGCACCAAAAAAAGTGAAGTTGATGTGACATTTTGAATGTAAAATACGTGTGCAAGAACTTATAAAATGATGAATCACACAACACAGCAGTTACTTTAACAGCCAGGATTTAAAATAATTGCTGTGGTGGGAAATTCAGCATTTTATAAGTTCTCGAACACTTTTTTCTTACACCCAGATTATTAAATCAATTTCACTTTTTTCAGTTAGTTTATTTTTCAAAAATCATTATCAGTTAATTCAAGTATACCGTTCGCAAGAACACCTCACACTTAAAATAAGAATCTCATTCATTAAAGTTTTCATGATAATCATCAAGTTTTATACCCAGTGCCTGAAAGTAGGTCATCAGAGTGAGCGAAAAAATCGCAAAACTCAGGCATCGATGTGGAGCTGTACCTGGGAAACATTTTGAATAGACGATCCTGCATCAAGAATAATTTACTCCCTCATTCAAGAATTTGAGTGGTCAGGTTCGGGTTTCAAGAGGATAGCAGCCTTTCCCCGCTTTGTTTTCACAGAGCTCTCTCAAACTTTTAAGCACGTGTTCTCGTTCTCTTCTGCCGTATTAAGGGAAAACGGTGTATGAGCTTTCAGGTGTTGCCAAATTTCCTTCGATAAAATACGAATTTCCTGGTAAACTTGTGAGTATTTTCCCCAAATTTTTTTAGATAATTTTGCTCGTAATTCCGCCGAGGATTCCTGAAAATTCCAAAAGAAAATATTCATAACTTTTCTCAAAAATAAACCTTTTTATATCGGAGGAAATTTGGCAACTCTCAAATGTTCATACGGCTTTCTTCCGTGCTGGGCAGTATTGGGCCGGAGGATCAGTTTTGCATTGCAAATTCTCAATAAACTTCTTTCCATGGATGCATCCCAAGTGTTTAACTAGTGGCGCGGCGTGCTTTGCGATATATCGATTGATCTGCCGTTTAAACCTGAGGAAAAATATCGATTTACAGGGTGTTTGCGACGAACACTTTAAAAATCGATTCTTCACCATAGCTTCCAATGGGGAAATATCGATTATCTACGCCTCGCCACTGTTTTTAACCTTTAGTTCCGGTGTGGAAATCATGAAAAGGAGGGAAGCAGGTGGGAACAGACGTAGTCAATTTGTCTAACCATTGTTTTCCTGCGGGCTTACAATTGAAATGGATAGATAAAATGATAGACAAAGAGGATTGAAGGAAAATGGAGTGATCACATTGGTTGAAACGAGTGGTTGTTATAGACAAAGGGGGAATTTGATGGACTTACAATTGGTTTCTTGTGGATTGTTCTTAAATTGTCTATGACATTGTGTATTTATTTCCTTGTCCATTGCAGCCACCCACTTCTATCACACTGGAAAAAAAAGCCGCTTGGATCTAGAGTCAAAACTCTTGAAAACAATGACATGAAAAAATACTTTTGATTCAATCGGATTTTTTCTTGGATCAAAGGGAAATCCGCTTACATTAAGAGGCTTGGTTCTCGATTTAAGCATAAATCCGATTGAATCAAGAGTATTTTTTCTTGTCGATGTTTTTAAAAGTCTGGACTCTAGATCCAAGCGACATTTTTCCCCAGTGCAGTAAGATCACTCCATTTTCACTTTGTCTCGTTGGTTCATCGCTTTATCTGTAACTGCAACAATCAGCGGAAAACTTGAAAGTTCGCAAATTTTGTACGTAGATTGTGAAGTTGAGACTGAATTTTAGACTCTCTCAGTGTACGCACAATTGTATGACCAAAATAAGAAATAGAGAAAGATAAGATGAGTCAGCGCATGGATGTCACAAACCGGAACAAAGATTACGCATTTCAACAAGTTTTCGTAATCTTTGATCAAGTCATTCCTGAATCCTCCCCTCCGTTTTTCCTGTGGTTCCGTTTGTTCTCTGTCGCACTCCTAATTTCTCGATTAATCCCAGTGGATAATCTTCGGAATCTGTCAAAATGTTTTCTTCATTCTGGTTTGGAACACTGGAGAGGCCTCAAATAAAAAATAACCAATCAAAAATGGATTTCATAGGCCTTAACTCTCAGTATGAATGGACTCTATACTAAAAAAGAATAATCAAAAGGACTCTCTCTCCATTCAACTAAAAGCATTGCTCAATTTGATCTATGTCACTCTTTTTTGTCGATATCTTCGTATTTTAATGCAAGTACATCTTGATAGACCTTGATCGATACAAAGAATTGCTATGACAGCGTCTTATGGAGCAAATTCATTCGATAACGTCTCGAAAATTAGCCTACCGAACATGAGCAGTGAAGTTGGAAAATCCTAGGAGTGGAAACCTCTGAAGCAAGTCCGCTCGCTAGGATACTTTTTCTGATGGAGCTCAGAGGAAAGGAACCAAGAATCTTGGAAAACAATGGGTCTACATTGTGCAGAATTTCTTTTTTACCCTGGTAAAAATTGGCGATAAGATCTGCG